CTATTGCATTTGCAGACACCAGTTTTTACTAATTACTTGAATGAATATCTGCACAAGTTAACAATGTCCACCTATGTCTCTAGTGAATGCCACAGGGCTTCAAGTTGCATAAGTTTGGATGAAGCTTTGAATCCAAAGACTGATAAGCAAAAACTCTGCCCAAGTTAACACAATGAAATTCACTGTAAGTCTTGGCCCACCCTGTAAGGGATGGAGGAGAGCAAAGAGGAGGAGTGTGGAGGTGGGGGTGGGTGGTCAATTTTGAGCCTGCACCTTCACGTGCTGAAGGGCATCTAAACAGGTGTGAGAGGCCCGCTGCTTGCCCAAGGATGGTCTTCATCTCCACCCCATGGCTTTTCCCATGCGGTCAGTGTGATTTGAGAAATGGCAGTTGGCTGGCCCATGTCACAGTTTTAAAGAGAAAGATCATTCTTTTTAAAAATATATATATTTTATTGATTTTTTTACAGAGAGGAAGGGAGAGGGATAGAGAGTTAGAACCATCAATCAGCTGCCTCCTGCACACCCCCAACTGGGGATGTGCCCGCAACCAAGGTACATGCCCTTGACCGGAATCGAACCTGGGACTTTCAGTCCGCAGGCCAACGCTCTATCCACTGAGCCAAACCGGATAGGGCCAAAGAGCATTCTTTAAAATCTGCTGTTCTGATGGAAACAGGAATCAAAACTGACAGGGAAAGCAAATTTGGAGGCCCGTCCCCATTTCAAATTCTGTAAGAGCACAGGGGCTGGAGCCAACCCTGAGCTGTGTGACCCTGGGTATGTTACTAAACTCACTTAGCTTCAGTTTTCTCCTCTGCAGAATAGAGATCATAACAATTATATCCACTTCCAGAATTGTGAGACTGAACAGGTGCTTATACCTGAAGCGCTTAGAACAGTGCCTGGCCATAAGTTGTGTGTTTGTATGTTAGCTAGCATTACTATTACTGTTATTATCAAAACTGAGGAGAATGCTGACTTGTTACTATAAGGAGACTGTCGTTAACCTGGTCCCTATGCCCTCAAACACTCCCCCCTCCCCAAGTGATAAATGTGTGGGATGTGGCTTTGCAGCACAAACCAAAAGCTAGATTTAGGCGCTTTTATGCTTATACTGAACAGTATGGACCAAGTGGACGTTGCAGTTTGAAGAAGCAGAGGCCTGTGCTTCTCCTCCCTCTAGGCTGCGTGGTTGCACTAGGCTTCTTGCTGCAAAACTGTCCTTAGCATCCTCAGGCTACTTCCCAAAACCAGTCCTGGGTGACTGCTTTCATCTACAAATTGAGATTAATTTTCCTCAGTTAAGGGCAACAGTACTTGTGTCTTACTCCAACCCCATTGCATGGGAGTGTAAAATTGAAGCATTTAGGTGCGCCACTTGCTAATTTCCAAGACCTGGGCCTACTTTCCTTTCTAGCCTTACCTGGTTTCCTCCCTCAGTGCTGAGCTGTGTGCTAAAGGCAGGTCAGAGTTGGTATCCAGCCATTCTTTCTCTTGACCTTCCCTGAAATGCTAGTCACTTGATTTTTTAAAAAATATATATTTTATTGATTTTTTTACAGAGAGGAAGGGAGAGGGATAGAGAGTTGGAAACATCGATGAGAGAGAAACATCGATCAGCTGCCTCCTGCACACTCCCCACTGGGGATGTGCCGGCAGCCAAGGTACATACCCTTGACCGGAATCTAATCCGGGACCCCTGAGTCCGCAGGCCGACGCTCTATCCACCGAGCCAAACCGGTTAGGGCTAGTCACTTGATTTTTAAGTGTTAATGCTTTTGTCTGCCTGAGCCTGTTGCAAAGGCTCCCCTTATTCTAAGGCAGTGGTTCTCAACCTTCCTAATGCCGCGACCCTTTAATACAGTTCCTCATGTTGTGGTGACTCCCAATTTCATTTACAAATTGGATACAATTAAAGCATAGTGACTAATCACAAAAACAATATGTAATTATATATGTGTTTTCTGATGGTCTTAGGCGACACCTGTGAAAGGTCGTTCGACCCCCAAAGGGGTCGCGACCCACAGGTTGAGAACCGCTGTTCTAGGGGTTAGCTCATTCTGTTTTAGGTAGATATACTAGCTCTTTGAAGTGGTGACTGAGTTTGCACACCTTGGCTTTCCCCTCAGGGCTGGGCCCGAATCACAATAGAGGTTCACTTAGTGTTGAGTTGTCTCCAGTGGAATTAATAGGACAAAGGCTCTCCACCATCCCCCTGCCCCCTCCACCCGAGTTTGCTAATCCTGGGAGTCGGGTGCCCCTGCCCAGACCCGGCCAGGGTAGACTGGCTGAAGAAGCTGTGTGTGCTTTGAATTTCCCCAATTCAGTCCTTTATTTCTAAACTTCTCCAGGCATCTTCTCTCCTTTCATTTTTAATAAAACTTCATCCACTTAAACTGCCCTTGCTACTTCTTCATGTCTGGTCTAACCTGCTTTGCTTGCTCACAAAGGAACTCGGTCCCTCATCACTCTTTTCCACCTTACTATTCCCATCTATCTTTCAGAATACGTATATTTTTCTTTCTCAGCCCCCTTTCCTTGGTCAGCCTCAGAAATGGAGAATGGCACAGCCTGCAGAAAATGTTTTAACAAGGGGTGTGGGGGGAGGATTAAGAATCTGTGTGGAATGATAACTCATGATGGTTATTTTTAAACCAGATGAAAGCCTTTTGCCCTTGTTTTCATTCTATTCTGAAGGATTTCAGAGTAAATCCTTATCCTGTCATATAGGAGTAACTGAGTTAGATGGCCACTATCTAATCTAAATGTTTTATTCAAACATTTATAACTGTTTTGATTTAAGAAAACATAAACTGACACAAAGTTTTGTTTTAGCCAAGATTTGGGAGAAGTTTTAAACTATAATATGTATACTTTGATAAATTTAATAGACTAGAGCTATGGGTTACAATATAGTTTGGTATTCGAACATTAATCTATTTTAATCCTAGTTATAACTCCAACTCAGGCTGGATTTACTAACCAGCTTGTTCAACTAGCTAAAACTGTAGATACCATCCGCAACGCTGATATTTAAACACAACAGAAATCATAAATAGAAATTCAAAAGGATTGCTTGATTTTGCAAGACAAGATTTGATGCTGTGAAGAAACCCTCTCAGAAATTCGCCAGAGACCGTGTGGGTCTTAAAATATCCTCCGTATCCTACCAGCCAGATTTGGCAGCTTGAGAACTAGTCATTGCAAATAATGACAAATATTTACCAATTCACAAAATGTTGCTATTTGTTTTGGCTTCAATTTTATGTTTTTTTAACTAGGAAATTTAGTATACTAATATTATGGCCACTCAGCAAATCTCAGGGGAAGAATTACTCCCTTATTGAGCATTTTAGCACATAGGTTTTGAATACTGGCTATATGCAAGTACTACATACAGTGAATGTTTCTGGTGATAAAAAAGTGAATTAAATTTGATGTTTGACCACAAGACATGGAAGAACTGACATTATACCGTGAGTGCCATAGAAAACTTGCTGAAATGCTCTGAGGAATGAGAGCTCACGTGGGATTTGCTGAGTCATTCAGAGAAGGCTTTATAAAGAAAGTGGAAAGAAGAGCTTTGATGACTAGCTAGACGCCAATATGTGGAGTTGGGGGGAGTAGGAAGAAATTCTAGATGAATGAGAAACATTATTAACAAAGTCTCAGAAACAGTATAATATGGAGTATAGTTGGGTTTTAGTTTTATGTAAATGAAAGGGTACAATTGGAGATAAAGCTAAATTCCATGGGTGTGAAATCCCAGATTAAACCTGGGTAGGTAGTGGAGAATATTTTATCAATTATTCCACTCTTTAAACAACTTCAGAGCTGTGTTTCAGGGTAATTAATCTGCCCTCAGTGTGTAAGCTTGATTGTGGAGAAAGAGAAGTTGGAGTTTGGAAGAGCAGCTGAGAGGTTATTACAATGGTCTAGTACCAAGAGTTAGTAAGAGCTGCTCTGGGCTGGGAAGAGTAGGTTGGAATGGAGGGGTAGAATTGAGAGAGAGCGTGCAGTGAGAATTTCTGGGATTTACAACCTGATTGGAAGATGTGAGGAAGAAGAAAGGGATAAGTTAAAAATGATTGTAAGGAGTCAAGCCTGAGAACTGACACCATTAAAAAAGTTAAGTAGTGCTGGTAGGAGGTGAGTTCAGCTTTGCTAGTGGTGCATGAATGTGTATGTGTTCCCCACTGGGGAGTTGGAAATGTGGAACTGAAACCCAGGCTATGGTTTGAAATAGAGACTTGGGAATCATTAGCATAGAGGAAATGGTAGAAGCTGTAGGAGCAGATATGAATGCCAAGGGAGAGTATAAAGAGAAGATGGCCAAGGACAGGGCCCTTAGGGAATGATGGTCTACTTTTAAATGAGGGAAGATGATCCAAAATTGGAATATGAGGTCAGGGAAGAGCCAGAAGACTTGGGATCATAAAAACCTGAACAAGAATTTCAAGAAAGGCGGGGTCAGTAATATCCATGGAAATAGAGAAGTAAGGAAGATGAGAATTGAGAAATTGAATGTTGGAGTTTAAGAGTTCTTTGGTGACTTTCACAAGAGTGGGGCTTATTCTTCTTTTAAGTCTAGGGTTTGTTTTATTAAGTATTCTGGATTTTTCCATTTCTGTAAAATAACACAGATAATGAGGATTGTGTGTGTGTGTGTGTGTGTGTGTGTGTGTGTGTGTGTGACAGAGAGACTTAGGATATCACCAGGGAACTATTTTATATGATAAGTAGTAAAATTATTGAAGTAATATATATGTTGAGCTTACATTTTATTAATAATAAAAACACTAATTCAGCCAAAAAAGGAAATCTCCAGGATTTTACTGTAGTCAGTAATAAAACTTCTACCCAAATTATGCCAATTAAAAAGCTATTCTTCTGCCCCATTCCATTGTATGAAATAACAAAAATATACAAACAATGGTTGAATTGATGAGCATACCCCTAAACATGGTGAGATTATTATCTTTTTCCCTTCCTTTCAGAATAAAAGACGGAGCTATGATAGCGACTGGTGGAGTGATAACCGGCCTGGCCGCCTTGAAAAGGCAAGACTCTGCCCGATCACAGCATCACGTCAGCCTCAGCCCCTCACCTGCTGCCCAAGAGAAGAAACCAGTCAGACGTCGGCCAAGGGCTGATGTCGTGGTTGTTCGAGGCAAAATCCGGCTTTATTCCCCCTCTGGTTTCTTCCTCATTTTAGGAGTGCTTATCTCCATTGTTGGAATTGCAATGGCAGTCCTTGGATATTGGCCCCAAAAAGAACATTTTATTGACGCTGAGACCACATTGTCCACAAACGCAACTCAGGTCATTCGGAACCAAAGTGGCGTGGTGGTTCGCTTCTTTGAGCAGCATTTACATTCTGATAAGATGAAAATGCTTGGCCCCTTCACCATGGGGATTGGCATTTTCATTTTCATTTGTGCTAATGCCATTCTTCATGAGAACCGTGACAAAGAAACCAAAATCATACACATGAGGGACATCTATTCCACAGTCATCGACATCCACACGCTAAGAATCAAGGAGCAAAAGCATATGAATGGCATCTACACGGGTCTGCTAGGAGAAACTGAAGTCAAACAGAATGGGAGCTCCTGTGCCTCGAGACTGGCAGCGAATACCATTTCCTCTTTCTCGGGTTTTAGGAGCAGTTTTCGGATGGACAGCTCTGTCGAAGAGGATGAGCTTGCGCTAAATGAAAATAAGAGTTTGGGGCATCTTATGCCACCTTTGCTCTCTGACAGCTCTGTCTCTGTCTTTGGCCTGTATCCATCTCCTTCCAAGACAACTGATGATAAGACGGGTGGCTCTAAGAAATGTGAAACCAAGTCAATTGTGTCGTCATCCATCAGTGCTTTTACATTGCCTGTGATCAAACTTAATAACTGTGTTATTGATGAGCCCAGTATAGATAACATCACCGAGGATGCTGAGAACCTCAAAAGTCGGTCGAGGAATCTGTCTATGGATTCCCTTGTGGTCCCTTTGCCCAACACCAATGAGTCCTTCCAGCCGGTCAGCATGATGCTCCCTCGGAATAATTCCATTGGGGAGTCACTGTCTAGTCAGTACAAGTCCTCTGTGGCCCTTGGACCCGGGGCTGGCCAGCTCTTGTCTCCTGGGGCTGCTAGAAGACAGTTTGGGTCCAACACATCCTTGCATGTGCTCTCATCACATTCAAAATCCTTAGACTTAGACCGAGGTTGCTCCACCCTAACTGTTCAGGCAGAACAACGGAAACATCCAAGTTGGCCCCGGTTGGATCGAAGCAACAGCAAAGGATATATGAAACTGGAGAACAAAGAGGACCCGATGGAGAGGTTGCTTGTGCCCCCAACTGCAATCAAAAAAGACTTTACCAATAAGGAGAAGCTGCTTATGATCTCAAGATCTCACAATAACTTGAGTTTTGAACATGATGAGTTTTTGAGTAACAACCTAAAGCGGGGAACTTCTGAAACAAGGTTTTGATGTTAAAAAATATATAATTTTACAAGGCTGTATATTTTAAAACTATTTTCATCAGTGTTTCCTTGTTAAAGCATTGGCGATAAGCATTTTTAATCAAATGGTTCGTAGTGTATTTGACCTGGCTGCTTAATTCTGCAATGGAGATAGTGACATGTTTGGGTTACTAAGACTGTAGTACTCTATGTTATCATATATGATTTTATTTTTTCCATTCCTTTGAAAGCATGATCTGAATTAAAGTTTATTTTCTTTACTTTCATGTTCTCGTTGACGGTCGTATTCATAGAATAAAGTGTCCAGTTTGGAAAAGGTAGGGAACCAAAGTGTGGGCTAGAAGTACCAATTTCAGGCCCAAACCTCAATATAGTATACTTGTAAATGAGTAGGAGTGCAAATCTTAGTTGTGCTTTTCTGAATAATTGCTTTTATGCAGGATTGATTAGACGATTTAAAAGGAAAAAGATCCAGCTTCTGTGAGAGCCAAATGATATGAATTGTTTTAATTCTGTGTGAGCTAATGGATATGAATTGGTTAAGTTGGTAGGTAGGTATTTTTTCAACATCAGTTCTATTTTAGTGATATTTTATCAAGAAACCATGTATTCAAGAGCCATGGCTGAGAATGTGAGGTAGTTTTAGTGGTAGATGATAGAAAATGTTATTAGCTATATCTTTAGATATCCAGAATTGAAATTTCTTTGCAACCGACTTGAAAAATGAATGGACCAATTAAGTTTTTAGTAATGCTACCTTAAAATAATAATATACATGAAGAGAATGTTGAATGAAAATATATTATATGCTAGTTAATGTTAACTAGTCTCAGTACCTTTTACTAATCATCTCTATTATCATCTAGTATCCACTCATTCTCACATCCTTATTTCTCCCCAATATTTTTAAGATCCTATTATTTGGAAAATAATCAGCTAACCTTGACATTTATTTTTATCTTCACATATCACTAGCTTGGTGGTTTAAGAAAATTCAGTCCTTGATAAATTGCCTTGAAATTTATCTTGTGCTGGAAAGCCTTATGATGACTCCAAAGACTTTCTTATGGTATAATACATTTTGGGGATTGTGGTTCTCAGTTATCGAAGATAATAAATATTAAAATGGGTGTTTCCACCAGAAAATTTTCATGTTTTCCAATAAAGTAATATATAATTTTAAGAACTGGTTAGTGAAATGCTCAGAAAACTTGACAGGTTTTCCCCAATGCCTAAACATTTCTGAATATCAGATTTGCAGTTGTGGAAGAAGAGAAGGAATATACCTTTGCAGGTTCCCGCAGTTTCATCATGAACTTGAAGTACAGTATTACTTGTTAGAACATTAAACCTGTGTATTGTAATATAGAGTGGGCTCGATATTTTACTATAAAACATTTAATAAACTTCTGTTCTTAATAGAAATTTGTGTTCTTCATACATTTGCTATAATTTTTTAAATAAAATAAATTTCTGTTTAAAGTATTGTTTTTCAAAATTTCAGACATATTCTACAGAAGTTTGTTGATACTCTGGTGCATGTATTGGTTGCTGTGGCTTTTTTATTTTGCCTCTGTTAGATTAGAGAGCCTAGTTCCATTCGCCTATTTAATTAGGCTGTTTTCGTATTTTGTTCCCTTGGTGTGATGGTTAATTTTATGTGTCATCTTGACTGAGCTAAGGGATGCCCACATTGCGACTTGTGTTTCCGGAAGAGACTAGCATTTGAATCAGTGAATGAGTAAAGAAGCTTGTCCTTACTAATTCCAGTCAACGTCATACAATCTGTTGAGGGACTGAATAGAACAAAAAGGGAGAAAAAGGGCAAATTTATGCATGACCTGGGACATTCATCTACTCCTGCCCTTGGACTCAGGTGTACACCATTGGCTCCCCTGGTTCTCAGACCTTCAGGTTTGGATTGGAATTATACACCTGCTTTCCTGGGCTTCCAGCTTTCAGATGGCAGGTTGTGGAACCTCTTGGCCTCCACAATCACATGAGCCAATCTCTTATAATAATCTATCTATCTATCTATCTATCTATCTATCTATCTATCTATTCTCTTTCTATCTATATCAGTTTCTCCGGAGAATCCTAACTAATACACTTAGGACCATTTTCACTTAAAATTCCATCAACTCTCAGAAAAATAACCAGATATATATTACAGTATCTACCAAATGTCAGTGATACAGATTTCAAAACAATGGCTCTCAACACCCCTGATGTGACAAATGACTAAAGCCATATAATTTTCTCAGTTCATCCCTGAAAGAGCTTTAAGAATTTGAAGAGGATTAAACAGCTCGGGTCTTAGAGGATCCAAATAAAAGAATTGGGGCTTAAAGCAGTGATTCCTGTTCAATCTCTCTCCATCAACAAACCGGAGTCCTTTACCAAACAAATCAAGTTTATGAAATGATAAGTAACCCCATTTTAAATTAATGAAAGGAACATGCTATAAGTAAAGCTTCAGATGAATATGATATCATTAGTGTTACTGTATTGGAATTTTAATTAGACTATTTTGTACATTTTCCTTAGGCTTTTATAAATAGTGAGAATTGTACAGAAACCCCATTTCTTCTTGTGGGAAACCGCAGGAATTTGAATCATGGGCTGACTTCTGCCAGGCCAAAGAGTTTCTAAGGCTTGCGGCCTATCTTGGGCTGTGTTGGTTGGTTAGGGCTACCATAACAAAATACCACAGACTGGGTGGCTTAAACAATAGAAATTTATTTTCTTACAGATCTGCAGGCTAGATTCTAAGATCAAGGTGTTTGATTTCTCCTGAGGCCTCTCTTAGGCTTGTGGATGGCTACCTTCTGTGTTCCCACACAGCCTTCCCCTTGTGCATCAGTTTCTCTGGTGTCTCCTTCCTTCTTAGGAGGACACCAGTCATGTTAGAATAGGGCCCCATCCTATAGGCTTCTTTTCACCTTAATCACCATTTTTAAAGACCCTACCTATCTCCAAATATATTATATTCTGAGGTACAGGGGTTAAGACTTCAACATGGACATTTGTGGGGATACAATTCAGCCCATAACATGAGGTGTGCCATTGAGAAGTGGCAGAGCTGAGTGAGTGTTCTGAGTCTGCAAGTTGGTGAGAAGAGCACAATATGCCCCAATGGCTTTACTACTGCCACTGTGTAGCCTTGAGTAAATCACGTAATCTCTCAGTTTTAATTTATTCCATTTCAATTAATTTCTTAATTTCAAGCCTTTAGATTCTTCAACCATGAAATTAGATGAGTAAGAACATAAAGTGCTACCTCTAAGGGTGAAGGGCTCTTGGTGCCCTGGGATGAAGATCGCTTTGCCTGTCACTAGACCTGCAGCAGTTTGCTTTTCAAATGAGGGGGCAGAAGCTATGGTAGAGTAGACTGGTGACTCATGGATGTTGGAGCCAGAGGACCAGGATTTGCACCAGACTCCTACTTTCTGGTCATGGGCCTTGGGCGCTGACCCATCAGAGGTGCTGAGAACTACTGGTGTGTTGCAATGGAGTGCCAACCCCACTCCTCAGCTGATATACATTAAATGAGTTGATGCTCTTAGTGAGCATTCAACATATATATGTAATATTACTATCTGAAAGTATCATCTAAGAACTTTACAATCTTCACCTTGTCCCCATCCCAAACCCAAGTATATCCCCCATGGTAGCATGAATAAAGGCCTCTAAAAACGCCCATGTCCCCAATCTGGAACCTGTGAATGTTACTCATGTGGCAAAATGAACTCCCAACTCTAAATTAAGGATCCTGAGATAGAGATTATCCTGGATTATTTAAGTGGGCTCAATGAAATCACAAGGAAGCAGGGGGAGATATGACTACAGAAAAGATGATGTGGCCAGAGTAGAGGAAGAATGGATGATGCTAAGACCCTGGCCCTGAAAATGGAGGGAGGAGCCATGAGCCAAGAAATATAAGGAGCAAAGGTCTAGTTGCAAGGAATGGATTCTTTCCTCAGAGCCTCAACAGGAACTAGTCCTGCTGACACCTTACTTAACCTTTGCTCTGTCAAACTGATTTTGGACTTCTGGCCTCCAGAACTGTAAGAAAATATATGTGTTATTTTAGTCCACTAAGTTTGTGTAATTTGTTACAGCAGCCATAGGGAACTAATACATTCCCCCAAACCAAAGTGGCTTTTTCAGAGCAGTGAGTCAGTTGTCAGCAGACTTGTAAGCAAGATGAAAGGCATTCATACCAGCTAATGGCAGGTGACTCAAAGCCTGCCATAACTTTAGTACTGATAATGTAAGCGTAATAATTTAAACAAAGAAGGTAGAACTTCTTTGAAGCAGGAAATACTGATTTTGATAGATAATAAAAAATATAAAAGCCCACAGTTGGTTTAAGAGTAGCCATCATACTTGTATGCATGCATATGAGCATAAACAATGAACACAGACAGTGGTGGTGGGGAGGTGAGGGCATGTTCCAGTGGGGTGAGGGGGCCGGGGAGAGGTCAATGGGGGAAAAAGACTTATGTAATACTTTAAACAATAAAGAATTTAAATTAAAAAAAAGTAGCAATCAGTTGTAAAAGCTTTCAGGCTCAAATGAATATTCCTATCTATATAATTTTAGAAGAACAGTGGTAATATAAGTTAAACATTTTTTATATCAAAATGGATATTACATTAGCATTTAACAATTTGCTAAAGATAAATTTTTAATTACTTATTTTAGCAGTTCAAATTTAACCCCCCCTTTTTATTCACTGGTTTCAGAGAGGAAAGGAGAGAGAGAAACATCAATGATGAGAAGAATCATTGATCGACTCCTGCACACCCCATACAAGGATAGAGCCCCCAACCTGAGCATGTGCCCTGACTAGGAACTGTGACCTCCTGGTTCATAGGTCAATGCTCAATCACTGAGCCATGCTGGCTGGGCCAAATTTAACCCATTTTCATGCTTACTGAAACACACCATGAATGACGAAAATAGGCTAAGTAAACAGTTAAAAATTTGTCAGTTTATCAAAACTAACTATAGTGCCCTGCATACTAAGGCTGTGGCCACCCCAGTGATATTTTTCTACAGCTGTGGTATTCAGATTGTTCAATGATCTTAACCACTTGTTCTTTAAGTAAGAACCAAAAGAGTAGCCAGATATGGATTATCCTGACTCTTACTTTCAATGAATTGCTCTATTACCCTTTTCCCATCCTGTATGCAATCCTACTTTAGACTCTATATCAATAATAGGGTACATAACCTTGATATTGGATCACATCCCTTTTTAACGATGATCTAAGTCAGAGGTCCTCAAACTACGGCCTGCGGGCCACATGCAAATACAAATAATGTATTTGTTCCCGTTTTTTTTTTTTTTTTTTTACTTCAAAGTAAGATATGTGCAGTGTGCATAGAAATGTGTTCATAGGTTTTTTTTTTAAACTATGGTTCGGCCCTCCAATGGTCTGAGGGACAGTGAACTGGCCCCCTGTTTAAAAAGTTTGAGGAACCCTGACCTCTGTGATTGGAATTCAAACTGAAGTAATTCAATAAGCTTCTCTCTATATTCTGTTTCTCTCAGGATTGTAGCACAAGGGGAAAAAGGCCAACTTCATCGAGGTGCCTTTTACTCATTAATGCCATCTTGA